AAAAGTAGAAAAAAAGAGGAAAAGAGCTTGAGATGGATTGAGTCAAGTGAAAGAAGAGTTGCTTCTACTTTTCAAGACACGTTAATGACAGGATCTTTAGGACTTCATGAAGCCACTAGGTCACTGTAAGTTGGGACTGTCTTGATGGCTTATAACAACCACACAATCATTTCCAAGCATCTGATGAATGGCTTGGAGATGACCCAAGACACATCGGAATCATTCTGAGACTGGGATATGAATAAAGGTTTCAGACATGTATGGATTCTGTAGCAAAATTGCAGGGAACAGCTTATTTCATTAAGGGAGGAAAGCTGTAAATAGTTTATCACCTCCTCATTTGGTTGGTTTGACAACATGGTGGAGCGCTGGTCTATCTTTGATGTGCTGTTGGCCGGAAGACCTGGGCTCATGTTGTTGAAACCATAGAGTCTTTAGAAGTTCCGGAGGGCAAAGACTGTGTAATGCAGAGGGTCTGGAAACGTTCATTCCATCATAGCATTCAATGCTACCCTCAAAATCTTGGTAACAATTCCCACTTTTGATCATTTCATGAATTCCTTTAAGAAATGTCATCTTGGGGTTATGGATTTTTATGCTGCAGAATTATATGTTATGGCATGAACTACGTTTTGAAAGTAAGGTTCATAAAATATGAGTGCAATGCACCTCACAGTGAGGGACAAAGGAGATGTCTCATCCTTGGAATGCAATGATTTTGGGTGGGAGTTCTTGTGTGTGTGTGTGTGTGTGTGTCTGTGTGTCTGTGTGTGTGTGTCTGTGTCTGTGTGTCTCTGTGTCTCTCTGTGTGTGAGTGAGTGAGTTTTGAATTTTGTTTGACATTTTCCACTCTGGACTTCCATCAAGCATGGATGCAGTGAACACTTTTGAGACTACAAAGAGCTTACAATTGACTTTTCTTTCGCTTGCCTGAATCCTATGTCACACTGGGATTCCAGAGGTCACACATCCCATAGAACTACTTGAAAACTTTTTCCCAGGCCTCTGGCACAAGTGTTTACACGATACAGGGGAGGGACATTGTAAGGAAGGGAAAATCCCTAGTCTTTCTTTCTGTGCAGATAATGCTTTGTCCATAATCTGGTTGGTGCTGACGTAAAGGTTGTGTAACTTGTCACAGCTAATTGTGACTAAAGGATAAAATGCTGGGGTATATATTGTTTGCAGAACTGGGTGTGTGCCTAAGTACGCAACTGACAGATGCCCTGACACTTTGTGAATTAGCCACCATTAGCCATAGCTAGTTAGGCAAACCTTACACAAACACCAACAGGATTCTGGCCTTCGGATTATATATCTCTTCATAGGCTAAACTTTGTTCGCACAGAAGCAGAAAATAGATGTGTCCTTAAGGTTACTGCTGAACAATTTGCTCTAGGTGGCTTATGCAATGGAATCCAGCCATAAACTGGAATCCAGACAGAAGGCATTGTTCTTGTATCTGCAGCTGGGCATGGATAGAAACCAGTGGTGAAAATTGGGGGGTGTTCAAGGAGACCCATACAGAATATTGAGTTTCAGCTCAACAGCATCCATTTTAATTTATCAGCGATATGGAGTTCTTACACTTTGCTATCAGTAGGGGCAAGGGTGGGATTTTGGCCCATTTCACTTGCTTTGCTCTGGGTTGGATCCTTGGTAGATGTATCTGAGGGCCAGACTTGCTTGCTATTGCTGGACAGAAATAGGAAACAGAACAGTTGTCGCGTATCGTCATGGCAAAGCATTCGTCTCCATGGGTTGGGAGAGAAAGAATGGAGAGCCTGTGTTTCCAAATGGAAACCTCCTTTCCACACACACGTACACCCAGCCTCCTTCCACGCTTATCTCGCTTGAGCTACTGCTAGACTGCAGCCAGAAGTAGCATGCGCTTTTGGGGAGGTTCTCTAAAAGTGGTGCAGATACCACACTTGTGGAAAAGGGATTCCTGGATAAATCTATTTCAAGGGTGCTCCAAGATCTAAATATCCAGTCTTGGAGTAGCTGTACGTTTGTGTTCTGTAATTCTTCCTATGGTTTTACGAGTGATGTGTGGACTTTGTGAGGGCTGCGGAAAAGCTGATGTGGCCAGTGCGATTAAAGACATGGATATGATGAGGGTGCATGTTGACTATGCGGTGTAGGCATGGTTCCTGCAAGTGAATCCCTCTTCA